CCTACTGGAAGCTTCCTAGGACTGAACGCAGGCAGGCCACTTCGATATAGCAAAGGGCCTGCCTCCACATTGGGTATTCGGGTGCTGGTTGCATGCTGCGCAAGCGCTGCGCTGAAGCTCGTTGGCACTCATGCGCTCACGGGCGAGCAGGAAGGAGCAGGCAGCCATAGCCGAGTTGCGCTGCTGTAAGCTGGGTGTGGCGCAGGGTGGTCCTTGGGTGCAAGTGGCATCTGTGTGTTGGGGAACGAGGGTGTGAGTGAGGCGAGAGACATACCTGGTGTTGGAAGCGTGCGACATTGATCGTTGTATGCTCGTACTTCGGAAAAGTTGTTGTCGTCATCATTCGGCATTGTAGTCTAGGCTAGATAGGATCTGCCATCTGTAGTCTGGGCGCCGAGCGCCAGATAGGATATCAACATTGGTTCTTCACTGATGATGATGATAAGACTTTACCAACATTGTTAATTATGAGCTCTTGGTGTCTTCTTATTTGGTGAAACTCGTGATGCAATTCTGCTGTTGGTTTGAGGTCACGACTATCCGGTGTTGTGTATATGATGTTGTTTGATTGCTGAAGTTCGCTATTGCTCATCTTCCTTGCAATGTGGTATTGGAGCTGTGGTACGATTGCGCTCATCTGGCGCTTATCTTCTGCTTAATGCGGTACATACATGCGGTCTGCTTGGTGAGTACGGTCGTAATTGGTGTGTAGTGAGGAGGGCGGAGATGAGTGATTGGCGACCCAGGAGGTGAGGGGTTCGCCAGGAAGGCTACGTGGTGTAATGTGGGTCAGGACAGTGTGATGAGAACTATCTGATGTGCGATTGGTGTTGAGGTGGAACGACGTGCAAGGCTGGTTGTGTCGAAGCAATGACTGGTCATCACAATCGGCATCAGGTCATCTGGTGAGATTCTCTCTGTGGTTGGGGGCAGCTATTTGAGGTACGTTGCTCTTAACCTTATCTACCGTCTTCGACACTTCTAACCGTGAGGTTGTGTTCCTTCTTGAGAGTCCTCTCATTGTGAGGTGTCGAGTGCGCTCAACCTTGAGAGTCGGCAATGTTCACGTGGAGCATCTGGGAGAAGATGGGCGGAGCTTTCTGAAGGGCCCTGGACGAAGCGCTGGGTCACGGTCACCATGCCAACCCACCGAGAGTAGAGCACGCATGCTTTGCTGCTTATCCTTTGTTCGGCTTGCGCTGTTAGATGGGTGTTGAAGGGCAGGCCAGCCCTAAATGGGAGACGAGACCGGACGTCTTTAAATAAGTACCGAAAGGGGACACCGTTGGCTATGATTGTCGTTCGGCTGCGACGTAAAATAATTCCTGGAGACACTTGGGGGCAGTCGTTAAATTGCCTCTGGATCAGCCAATGGTTGTAAGGCTCGCTGCACGCGAGGATAATCCAGTGCAGGGCTGGCCAGCTCAGCAGACACTCGGGGCACAGGGGTGGGCCGAACACACACCTTTTAGACACGCAACGCTCTCCGGATTGCTCAGGGACGCTGACGTCAAGTGACATTCAGGGGAACTAAGAAAGGGGTAGATTTCAGGTGATAAGTGTGACAAAAATTCCATACTGTCCTATCCACACAAATGATTCTATTTTTATGTTTTGATTAGTTTAGGTGTACAACCATTTGACATCTGACAGACAACATAATTAGAACTGTAACTGTTCATTGTGCATTCTGTTCGCGGACTAATCAGGCTAAGAGTAGTTTCGTTTGTAGGAATCTGAACTTACCTGTTGATCCTAAATGTATCTACTCCGAAATAGCCACCAATTAATTATTTATTTATTTCAAATTGGTCTGTGCACTACACTGCGGTAGGCACCCAGAGTGCATTAGTGCAGATTGTGTACAGTGCTGTAGCTTACGAGCGACGAGGAGGACACTAGAGAGGACGACCGGATCTTGCGATCGGCAAGGCGCCCAGTTGCCCATTTGGCATTAGGTCCAGAGGGTGACAGATATCTGTTCCGCCAGCGTAGGGAGAGGCAGCAGCAGCAGAGGAGAGCCAGGGCTGAAGAGGCAAGCAGGGCATTCGTGAGTGAAGCCGCAGCTTTGGCAAGCCAGCCAATAGTGTCGACTTCCGATGAGATCGCCATACAACAAGCAACATTGCAGGAGGCACAGCTACAGAAGGCTTTAGGAGAGATAAAAGCGGAGAAGGAAAGGATGATTAGAAGAAGAGCCAGGATGCAGCGGAGACAAGCGGACGTTAGTGAGTTAGAGGAGATGGACCTGGCGCACGTGACTGATGATGTGAGGATCATACGGTCCGTCCTGCTAAATGTTGTTGAAATGCAGAACCATCACACAACCATCCTTAAGGACATTCAGCAAAGTTTGGCCCTGTTGGCTGGGCGAGCGCAGGCAGCGCCATCGATGTCTGGGCCTGGTGCCTGGCCCGTCGTACAGCCTCCTCCTTTTGTCCCACCGGTGACTGGGGTATCCCCATATGTAGCCCCATCATCGGTCGCGATCGTTTCCCTGGGCATGCCGCTATAAGGAGGGTTATCAACAGGATCTAGTTTGCAGGTTCCTGTACAAACAGTGTTTACCCAATCTCCGTTGCAGGTTGCGGTTACCACGCAACCTGCTGTCTCGCAGCCTGTACAGCCGCAGGGTACACAGCCCCAGCAGCTAGCACAGCAGCCTGTGTCACAGGGTCCACAACCCGGAGTGGTGCAGGGACCGGGACAAGCACAGTGGGTACCAAAGATGACCATCGCCGCTCCTAAACCCTTCACAGGGGATAAGAGAGGCGAAGACCTCGACACTTGGTTGAGGGCAGTGCCGGTCTATGTCAAGTGTAAACTCACCTTGCCGCACGAGGAAGTGCTTGTGGCTGCATCCTACCTAGAGGGTAGTGTAGCAAGATGGTTGAGCGGTTTAGTACAGCTGCAGGGATACGGTCATGACTTTCGCGCTTGGGCGGTTACCCAGCAATTGGATGACTTCCTCAAGTTGGTGGAAGAAAGGCGGCATGATCCTCAGGAGGCCCAAAAGGCCACTGATGCGATCCTGATACTGCACACGTGGCAGTTTAAGTCAGTGAGGGAGGCCACCGACGCTGTAGAGCGTCTGATCTGTGTCCCTGGGGTGCGCTATGACCCCCAGGTTTTACTCACCTCCTACCTGAGACGCTTTCCTATGCCTCTCAGGAATCAGTTGGCAGGTGAGGCCAACATCAATGTTCACAACTTCCCCTCGTTTAGCAAGAAGGCCCTAGACCTTGAGGCGAAGATAGGGCATGGACATCATCCCACAACGGACGGTACGAAGAAAACACTGCCTCCCAACTGGAAGGCAAAGGGCCGCATTATGTTTGTTGATAACGATGGTTCAACCATCGAGTTAGACGACAACTTCCAGGAGGGAGTAGGTTCAGAGGCTAGCAGCGTAGAAGCTTCAGGGGGTGGAGTTGTCGCTGTTGTAGCTCAGAAAGGTAAGGCGACCGGTAGACGCCGTGGAGGCTCCCGGTCAAGAAGTCAAGTTGACCCCAACGCTCCCCCATGGGAGAAGGCGGGTCTCACAGAGGACGTGTGGAGAGATCGGTATACACGGCAGACCTGCATTCGTTGTGGTCAATATGGCCATAACCAATACAAGTGCCGCAACAAGAAGGCAACCGATAAGATCCCGCCTACGATGGGGCAGGCGTTGGGATCCTCCCATCCCGTTGGTAGCAATGTAGCTAGTACTTTTGGCACTGCTTTGGGAAACACGTCGGGCCAGTAGGAATAGTAGTTGTTCCTACTAGGGTCAAGGTGGTGGATACACCCTCACCATCTCGAGAGATGGCCCAAGCTACTGACTCCATCGTCGTCCCGCAAACACGTCGAGACCAGTCGAGCCTCTGTTCGATGAATGTGTTTGAGTCCTTAGAGGAGCTAGAGGTGGAGTGGTCTAGATCAGACCCACTGGCTTCTTGGACGGCTTAGTCAAAGCCCCTAAGCGAGGCTGTCATTGGCGGCCGCAAGGCCGGGGCCTATTATGACACTTGCTCGACTAGGAACTTTATCAGTCGCGCGTCCGTTGAGAGGCTGCGTTTACAGGGGCGAGTGCAGTGCCTAAGTCGACCTGTGGAGTCGACCTGTGCCAACAAACAGCGCATGGTAGTCAACGACTACCTCCAGGATGTCGAGTGTTGTTTCCCGTACGCGGGAGGGGAATTGCGACATCGTGTCTCGTTCCTAGTGAGTGACGAACTTCCCATGGACATGATGTTAGGAATGTACTACCTCTCTGTGGCATAGCCCCAGTTTGACTGGGACCGAAAAGTGGTCAAACACACTTTGCCAGGTGGAGGGACCGCCAGATTGCGTAAGTTCAAAGCTAGTAGTCTGATTGAGTCCCACGGATGCATGTGTGGGGCCGCATTCTATAATTATTATAAGCAAATTCAGGAGGAGGGTATGTACCTAGTTTATGTCTCTGTTGCAGGTGAGCCGGTGAAAATGCCGCTGGAGATAGAGGGAGTGGTTACTGAGTACCCTGATCTATTTGAAGAGACGACAGGGGTTGTTGAGAGGGAGGTCGTCCACACGATAGAAATTATCCGAGGGTCTAGTATCCCAAAGGGTAGGATCGATCGGATGTCTCCAGGCTAGCTCTATGAGCTTCGCCGGCAACTCAAGGAACTCGTTGAGAAGGGTTGGATCCGGCCGAGTGTCTCTCCTTATGGGTCTCCAGTACTATTCGTACCTAAGAAGAAGGAGGGGACACTCAGGATGTGCATTGACTATAGGGGCCTCTATGCCATCACTGTTAAGAACAAAGAGCCCCTACCGCGCATCGATGATTTGCTAGATAGACTGCAAGGGTGTCTGTCGGTACTTCAGTAAGACAAGTTTGAAGTCCGGGTACCAATCTGGCCCGAGGATCAACACAAAATCGCATTTCAGACCAGGTACGGTCTGTACGAGTTTGTGGTGATGCCTTTTGGCCTTTGCAATGCTCCTGACACCTTTCAGCACGCTATGAATCGGAAATTTCATGACTACTTGGATAAATTTGTCATCGTGTACCTCGATGACATACTTATTTTTAGTAAGACTGTCGAGGAGCACGTTGCACACCTGGACAAAGTCCTCGGTCTCCTACAACAGCACAAGTTCAAGATCAACGGTGAGAAGTGCGAGTTTGGCCGCACCCGTGTCTTGTACTTGGGTCATGAGATCTCCGCGGAAGGGTTGAAGCCCGATGACGCGAAGGTGGCCAGCATTCGTGATTGGCCACGTCCTCAGTCTGTGACTGAGATGAGATCTTTCTTAGGGATGACAGGCTACTATGGGACTTTTGTTAAGAACTATAGCATAGTGGCCGCTCCTTTGACTGATCTAACCCGGCTTGACACCCCATGGGAATGGACAGATGGGTACGAGGCTGCTTTTAGACATCTGAAGCATGCGTTGACGCACTACGAGGTCTTGAAACTTCCCGATCCTGACAAGCCGTTTGCAGTCACCATGGATGCCAGCCAATATGGCATTGGCGCCGTGCTTGCGCAGCAGGAGCGGCCAAAGTTGAGGCCTGTCAAGTACATGTCCAAAAAGATGTTGTCTCAGTAGTTGGCAAAGTCCACCTATGAGAAGGAACTTTATGCGGTGTACAAGGCTCTGACCCATTGGAGGCACTATCTCCTTGGGAGGTTCTTCATCCTCAGAACTGATCATCAGACTCTGAGATGGATGAGAACTCAGCTGGTGCTTTCTGACGCTTTGAAGCGTTGGATCGAAGTCATTAAGCAGTATGACTTTGACCCTCAGTATCTGAAAGGGGAGTACAACAAGGTTGCGGATGCCTTGTCGCGTAGACCTGATTTCTCAGGTGCGCTGATTACTGAGTTCGATCTGACGGACGATGTTACTCGCTCTTTGGTGGAGGCCTATCGCGAGGACCAGTTTATGTCTAAGGTCATACGCAGACTTGAGGCGAAGGATAAGAAGACTTCAGCCGAGTTTGAATTGATCAACGGCTTGCTGTTCCTTGAGAAGGTCGGGAATAAACGTTTGTGTGTGCCAAATAGAGAGTCTTTGCGTAGTTTATTTTTAGGGGAGTGTCATAATGCCACCGACCATTTTGGGTACAAGAAGACCGCAGCTAACCTGCTGCAGCGGTTCAGGTGGCCCACAATGATGAGAGATGCCCAACTGTACGTGGAGACTTGTCAGGTCTGTTAGAGAGACAAACCACGTACTCAGGCTCCTCTTGGGCTCCTGAAGCCCCTTCCGATTCCGAAAAGGCCTGGTGAGAGTTTGTCCATGGACTTCATGGATACGCTGGTTACCTGCAAGAGTGGGATGAGACACATTTTTGTCATTGTGGATAGATTTAGTAAGTATGCTATATTAATAGCCATGTCGGAGACTGCGAAGACCGAGTACGTAATCAGATTGTTCAAAGAGAACTGGGTAAGGGATTTTGGATTGCCCAAATCCATAGTGAGCGACAGATATGTCAGCTTCACTAGCGAACTGTGGAAGGCCACTGCTGCAGAGCAGGGAACCCAGTTGCAGATAACTTATGGGAATCACCCAGAAGCCAACGGTCAAGCCGAGCAACTGAATCGCGCGGTACAACACTTGTTGAGGCATTACATCAAGCCCAACCAGGTGGACAGGGATGAGAAGCTTGCTCTCATTGCCAGTCTGTACAACAACGCTGCACACAGCGCCACCGGGGTGAGCCCAAATAGTTTGCTTTTGACTTTCAAGCCTAGACTACCCTTAGACTTTCTCCTTCCTGAGAATCAGTCAACAGCTGCACCAGTTACTTTAGAATTTGCCTACAGGTATGAACAAAAGATGCAGCAGGCGGTAGAACAGATGCAGAAGGCACATGCAGCAATGATAGAGTCTGAAAATAGACACCGTTGACCTTCTACGTTTCAGGTTGGGGACAAAGTCTAGGTAAAGTCCTCAGAACTGGGACAGGAGTACGGGATTTCCTGCAATCTCATGCCAGAGTACTTTGGGCCATGGGAAGTCTTAGATACTGCCGGGACTGATGCAGATGGGCCATCTTATGTAATCCGAATCCCTGGTCATCTCCGTACTTACCCTGTCTTTCACGCCTCCAAGCTTGCACCTTTCAAAGAAACAGATCAGTTTCCATCTCGTCGCTCAATGCTGCCCCCAACCATGGATGGAGAGGTGGATATCGATGATATCGTGGACCACGGAGAGCTGTCAGTTCCAAGACCAACAGGAAGGGGACGTCCTCCGAAACCGAAGTTGCAGTACCGCGTTCGGTTCCGACATCATACTGATTCTAAGGAGGACCGCCGGTTCACCAGGGAGGAACTTATGCAAACGGCTCCTCAAGTTGTAGCCCATTACGAGAACGCCCGATGGTTGAAGACTGAGCTTCGCAAATGATTGTTGAAGCTAAGGAGGAGGGAATGCGAGGCCACTGCCTCTATGAGCCCCATTCGGCCCCTTTTTGGAGCAAGTCGGCCGCCCTAAGTGAAGGCAGGCTCGACGACGCCCTCGGGGCCCTATTTTGACCACTGCGCAACTAAGGAAATTCAA